TTTAAAAATGACATGACAGTGGTTGCGTTGTCAGATGCTCAGGTTGGCCTATATCTGGATGGATAAGATCCAGAGTTGGAGAAGCTGAACAGAACTGACAGAGAACTGGAGAAGCACCTCTTCTAACATCAGAAACTAGATTTCATTGGCTTAATCGTTTCTAAAGGGGAGATTGGCATTCCACTTGAATTAAAAACTTCCCTCTCAGTGGAAGGATATGGTAATGCCATTGCATAGTGAAACAAGAAAAAGAAGTCACAAATCATTATCCCAAGAGAATAATTGACTGTTTCCTTAAAACATTATTTGCCAAATCAGCTGCTTGAGGCAGTTCACTCAACCTGCCTATTGCTTCGACAGGTCTTTCCACATGGAATTTGCATTTAAAATTGAGATATAGTTTCCACATGTACATTCCAGTACAGTCTTCCTAACCTAACATTCAAGTTTTTCTTTCTCTCTCTTAAAATAATCCAGAAGATGCTAAGTGCTGAAGTTCTTTTTCCCATCTTGGGCTGCATCCATCCACATTTGTGAACCCTTATGGCCTGCACCAAGTGTCCTAAGCTATTCTAAGATAGATATTTATTTATTACATTGATATCCTGCATTTCCTCCCAGGAAGATAGCTTTCTATGTCTTATTTTGGCAGGAGTGTGTGTGTGTTTTGTGTGTGTGTGTGTGTATGTGTGTGTATATATATATATATATATTCTCTGCGGTAAAGCGTGAGAATATGCCACCTGCATGGAGCTATTTATTTTATTTAATTTCGCCTTTCTCCCAGGAAGAGACCCAAGGTGGCTCACAAATAAAACATTTTAAAACTTTACAATAAAAATTTAAAAGACAATTAAAATAAACCGACTAAGAACAGTATCAAATTATATAAACATATAAAAGTTGAAAACCCAATTAATTATACACATAGAAACACTGTAAAAGCCTCCCTGACGTGATTATACATTAAAAGCCTGCTTGAATAAAAATGTTTGCCTGCTGGCGAAAGGAAAACAGGGCAGGGACCAGCCTAGCCTCCTGTGGAAGTGGGATCCAGAGGGTGTTTTTAGATCCAAGAGGAGTGCCACTTCATGGGCGGTGGGGATAAACTGTGCATGTGGAAAACAGAAAGGAACCTATACATATTAACTGTCTAAATACCCTAAAAGCACCACATCCTGTCTGATCTTGGAAGCTGAGTCGGGTCAGCCCTGGTTAATACATGGGTGGGAAAGCAACAACATGTTCTAGGAGCGCCAATACATTCCTATGGACGTTATCACACGGGGCAAATCTGCTGGTTAATCCACACATATTCCAAACAAAAACTGGATTTGTGCCTCACGTTTTCACACGACGTCACACAGAAACTGGACAGAAAGTGGACAGAAACTGGTGTTATCTGAGATCTTTTGAAATTCGGTTGTTTGGAGGAAATGCAAATGTGAAATTAAGGTAATTTCGCATTTACCGTAATGTGGAAAGCAAATGCGCATTTGGGAGCATTTCCCTGCTTTTCCCATGGTTCCAGCGAGCATTCCTCTATCTGCGCATGTGCAAGAAGATCATTTCGAGTACATTTACGGGCTTTTCTCACTTGTGTGTGAACGTTAAATGCGCTTACTTTAATTTCGCAATTAAGGTAATTACGTGTGAAAGCCATTTGCGAAATCAAGGTTTATTTTCAGTTTATTTTCGGAATGCCTCATTTCCACTTTATTATCGCTTTCTGGCCCACGTGTGATAACGTCCTATGTTTCAGAGGAAGGAACTGGCAAAACCACTTTTGAATATTTCTTGCCTAAGAAACCCTAGGAAAGTAATGGGGTCACCACATCTCAGTGGGCAGCTTGAAGGCACATGCACCCACAAGCACTTGGATCATGGGGGACAGTATGCACACAAATTAAAATTAAAAACAAATGGCTCTAACAATGCCAAGATTTGGGCCAGGAACAACTGCTACTCCTTCTCGCCTTCACTATTGATTACAATATAAAATGGACTCATTTTAAGCTCTCAGCTTGTCAGGCAATCTTGGTGAAAACAGTGTCTTGTTCACACAATTAAAGTACTTGTTCCAGTAGAATAGAAAGCAATCTGGCCACATGCGATCCGCAGGAGTGCAGGCTTTTTGTAGTCGCCCCCTGAAGAACTCCTTAAACTTAAAGCCTTAAAAGGCTTTGTGGTTTTTAACTGGAGTGTCTGCTGGAGAAATCCTCATTATCACATGTGTGGCTGTCAGTCTGCTTCGCATGATCCAGATGGCTGCGCATTTCCAGCAGAGCGTGGGTGAATAGATGCAAATTTGCACAGAAAAATGATGACAATTAACTGTTGGTGCAAATGTGCGAAAATCCACAGCAATACAGATTAGCTGCAAGTAGATTAGCCCCAGGAGAAGTACAGTTTTGGAGAGGTACCAATTTTGGCAGCAGGAATGGCTTTTGCAGTGGCGCAATTGTCACTGAGTTGGCATTTGCACACCATCAGATTGTCCTGTTAATGAATTCACGAATGAATTGCTGCTATATAGTAGATTTGAACTACCCACTGCTGTAGAGAAACTGTTGCTGATAGCAGATACAAACAAGGAGTAAATCATGTTTTTATATGTTTTGCTGTTGTTGTTTTAAAAAAAGTATGAGGCATCTGAAGAGACTTTCTGTGGCTGAAATACCTGCTTTAAAAAAACAAATAAATCCTGTTCCTTCCACTCCTGCTTTCCTATTTTCTGCTCTTCCAGACTAAGGGACTCATGGAGGTATGTTTAGGAAAATGTCTGTAATTGACATTATATTCTAGTTCTAGAAATGGTTTAGATTGGAAAGTTGGGAACTGGGGGGGATGAAAAGAAATTGTGAGAAGTATTAAACTTTGCCGCCATCACCTTTCCATTAACAGCTTAAAGAGACATAGAATCATAGAATCATATTGATGGAAGAGACCTCAAGGGACAGCCAGTCCAACTCCCCTGCCATGCAGGAACTCACAACCAAAGCACCCCGGACTAATGTGGGATGCCCCGAAATATCTGCATCATCTTGATACTTAAAATTCTAGAAAATGATTGGTACCAATGAGCTTGGATCTAATTTAAGAAATAAACCTGGAGCTGACATAGCTGATTAATCATATAAGCATCAGTGATATGTAAACTGTCTGTGTTGGAAAACCTCCAGCATTCTCTTGCCTCCCACTTTTGCTATTTAGAGCAAGTGAGATTTAGGGCCTTTGCAGACTGCTAGAAATAGTGCAAATTAACTACCCTGGCTCAGTGCTAGGGAATCATGGGAATTGTATTTTTTCTGAGACATTGAGCCTTCTCTGTCAGAGAGCTCTGGTGCCACAATAAACTACCGTTCCCATGATTCCCTAGCACTGAGTCAGGGCAGTTAAAGTGAACTCAATTTGCACTATTTCTTGCAGTCTGCAAAGGCCCTTAGATAGGATAGCATTCCCTGCATGTGAAATCTTTGTTTCCCTTCATCTAAACCTTCCCATTTGCTCTTATTGTCCTGTGAAGTGCCTGTTCAGAAATACCATTTTTAACCACATAAATAGACCATATAACCCAAGACACTTCTTTTTAGGATGTTTCACACATTGTGTTTCACACATAGTGAGATCTCCTTCTCAGTGGTCATTTTTCTCTCTTCTCCTCTACCTTTTTTGGATCACCAGGAGGTGAGATAAAGACTCAAGTTTTTTTCATTTTACCTGATCTGTTCATTAGCAAGTTAGGATATAGACTTTTTCCCCATGCATATGTAAAAAAGATAGTAAACATCTCAGTAACCTGAAACTGCCTGCCTTGTTTATTTCGAGTCAGTTTCAGCTCTCAGGGCAACATCATTAGATTGGAGCACGTTTTTCCCGCTATTATGCTAAAGAAAGGTAATCCCTAACAGTTTGAGCTTTGATATTTTGGATATTTAAATATTTTGTTTCCCAAACAAGGGCTTAAAGCCTAGGAAACTTTAATTGTCAACAATATGCACAGTCTTTTGTAAACCACACAGACAGATGTATATGTAATTCACACACACACACACACACATATGTGTGTGTGTGGATGTATATGTATGAGTGTGTGTATGTATATGAGCATCAATAAACAAAATAATTCAGAAGCAAGAAAAGTACTTAAGTAATGTATTAATCATATAAACATCAGTGATGTGTAAATTATATACAGTTGTATATAAATCTCATATGATATTTACATATGACTATGCATATAATTGGTGAATGAGCACCCTTTAGGTTTGGTCAGTCAATCAATTGCAACTCCACCTAAAAAAGAAGCATTGTGTACCCACATTTTACTAGCTTTACTTACTAGTTTGCAAGAATATTATGGTGGACATTGTCAAAGGCCTTACTAAAATCAAGGTATGCTACATCCACAGCATTCCTTTCATCTACCAAGCTTGTAGCTATTTAAAAAAGAGATAAGATTCATCTGGCATGACTAGTTTTTGAGAAAACCATGCTGACTTTTAATGATCACAATATTCCTTTCTAAGTGCTTACAGATTGTCTGTTTCATGATCTACTCTAGAATATTTCCTAGTATTGACTGGGTAGTAATTGTTTGGA